ACGGCGACCTCGCCCGTGTTCGTGCCCAGCCGTCATGTGCATCACACGCCAGCAGGCAGCAGCATTAACTCAGGAAGTGTTAATAATAGATTTAATGAAGCCAATTTAAAAAGAAGCTTATAAAATGTTAAAATAGTTGTACTTTCAAATTTTACTTCACTAGTTTATTTTGGCTGGTGACTGTTTTCAGCTTTTACTCTGGGAAATCCCACCCCTCAGATAACCTGCGGGAGCCCTGCAGTGGCTGTGTAACCATTCACCAGGATTTGCTTTTTGCTGCTTTGTGATTCTGTTCTCTGGGAACTTGGGGTACAGTTAGTACTTTTAAAATTACTTAAGTCTTTTTGATTACCAGCACAGCGAACTTGAGCTGTCACCTGGGAGTCCTGATGCTAAGGTGACCAGCAGGCGCTCCAAGAGTGTCTACACACCGCTGGAGCTGCAGTACATGGAGGTGAAGCGGCAGCACCCGGATGCGATTTTGTGTGTGGAATGCGGGTACAAGTACAGGTTCTTTGGGGAGGACGCAGAGGTGAGTTGCTTTTCCAAGCACTGTTTCTTGGTTTTTCCCTCGTCTTAGATATTTTTCAGTGTTCTTGTTTCATTGCCTTTGTGAAAAGGCTGATTTGGTCCCTCCCTTTTACTAATACTGCCATTTAAAGCAAAAACTGAAAATAAACACCAGAAAATCTGGGTGGGAGCTAGACTTGTAGGGAAGGAGAGGAGATTATTGAAATTAGTGCTTTTTCTCTGGGGTGCAGTGGCTGTGACCCCAGCATTTTCAGAGGCTGAAACCGGAGGATCTCAGGCTTGAGCCCAACCCTGACCATTTAGCAGCTTAGTGAGACCTTATCTCAAAACGAAGGGCTTGTGTGTAGCTTAGTGTGAAGGCCCTGAGTTCAGCCGCCGGTGCCAGCACCCCCAAAGCCCCCAGAGAGCTGATTGGGTGCTCTGATTAGTGAAGGAGCCACAGTCTTGCTGGTGGGTTGTGTTTGCTAGTGAAGGCTCAGTGAGGGGAGGCTGAGCGTGTGCAGGTCCTCCTGACTCATGCGTTTCCATGGCACGACAGCTTAGGCCCGGGGAAGAGTGCACAAGTCACCTGTTTCCGGAGGTGTCCGAAGCGTCAGAGTACAGTGTGGTCCCTTGTGCTGCACTCCTCCTCCAGCTGGGTGTCCAAGGTGGAGGCGTCGATGGCTGACGAGGGCTTGGACTGGTGATGGGACACGCTCAGAGCCAGAGCTCCAGACAGCCTGTGCTGGCTGTCGTGGAGGGCGGTGACCAGTCTGCAGCGTAGCCCCATTGCCCACAGAGTGGTCGTGAGGTCTTACTCTCCTTGCTTCTCCCTGTCCCTGAGCGTGGAGGCAGGAGGGTGTGTTTTCTGAGCTGCTGCCTTCTGCTGCTTCGAGTTAGGCTCCAGGTGCTGTGTCCTGAGGCGCCAGGGATGGTGTGCTCTTGGCATCCTGGGGGGGATATGCAGGTGAGAAGTGAGCCCAGGTCCAGCCACAGTGGGGACCCCGGCCCTGCCTGACGGCTGAGTGCTGAGGCTCGGGTGGGCACTGTCCCAAGGTGCAGGCCTTGGAGGGAACTGGGTTGGGCATGACCCTTTCTCTGCACGTCTCCTAGTCCTGCATCCTTAGCTAGAACCGGCCCTGGGCGTCTCTTCCTCACACATCAGCTTCCTATGTCCCCTGGACTCCTCCTCTCTGTGGCTCTTCTTGTTGTCACTTATTTGCGCAGTGGATTGTTACCCTGGATCCCGTCACCCTGTGGTTGGCAGGTGCAGGCAGCACTGAGCCTGGGCGTGTTTCAGGATGCAGGTAGAGGAAGACCCAACAGTGGTTCTTTTTTTTTTTTTTTTTAATTTTAGGGAAGGGTCTACAGGGTGTTCAGGGTCTCACTACTAGATCAGACTTGTAGTGGTCTGCCTGTTGGTATTACAGCCTCCCAAGAGCTGGGATTACAGGCAGGCACCACCACGCCCAGTCTCCATTGCCATCTCAGTGTGCCTGGGGGCGGGGCCATCATGGCAGGTCCAGGGATCTAGCCTCCAGCCCCTGCACCTGCTTTCAGGTGCATTAATCCACTGAACTATTTGGCCAGCCCTCCCAACAGTGTTCTGAGGCACCTAGAGACACAGATGTTGGTGCCACGCCAGGCCACATAACCTGCCCAGAGCAGGTGATACCGGGGGCTGCTGTGCACAGAATGTCCTGTACCACATTCATGGAGGGGCTGTAGTCCATGTCCCACCCATGCCCCTGTAGTCCATGACCCATCCATGGCCCCTGTGCCCTAGAGGCAAAGGTGGTACGGTTGTGCATGAACAGTCACGCAGGTGTCCTGGTGTGCAGGTGTGGGAGTGTGCTGAAGCTCTGTGTCCTTTAGAACAGTGCAGAGGTCCTAAGTGCTCATGCTGAAGGTTTTTGGACAAAGTGAACCTACACAAAGAATCCCGAGAAATAACCGCTGCTTCCTTTGGAATTGCCAGATTGCGGCCAGGGAGCTGAACATCTACTGCCACCTGGACCACAGCTTCATGACGGCCAGCATCCCCACACACAGGCTCTTCGTGCACGTGCGCCGCCTCGTGGCAAAGGGCTACAAGGTCAGCTTGGGCTCTCCACTGTGGGGATGGACCTGGAACTCAGCCAGGCAGTGAAGTGGGCCTTCTGAGCCAGGAGGCAGCCTTGGATTGGTTTTAGGACTTGGCATTTTGGAGAAATGAAAATGTCATAATTACTAGCATTGTATAATGGCTTTTATTTATCTATTTTTAAAAGAAATTTTTATTTATTTGGTGTAGGGTCTTGCTACAGCTCAGACTCGTAGTGATCCTCCTATCTCAGCCTCCCTAGCACTGAGAGTATAGGTGTGTACCACCACATCTGTTTTTGGTGGCCAACGTGAGGAACCTGGGGTCCCGGGGCTGGCATGGCATGCAGTACAAGGGATCAAACCTGCGTTCTTGTACTTGCCAGGCAGGTGCTTAGACCAGTGAGCTGTCTCCCCAGCCCTGTATCATGACTTTTAAAAGCATTTTGTTAGGCCTGCAATATAGCACTCTGGGAGGCTGAGGCAGGAGCATTATAGATTAGAGCTCAGCCTGGATAGCTTAGTGACCTGGTAAGCACTTGTGTCAAAATTAAAAACAAAGGACTAGGGGAGTAGCTCAGTAGCTCCGTAGTGCACGCAGTAACAGTCAAACAGAAGTTGTGTTGGGTGTTTGGGGTGGAGTATTTACAGAGCTCCTTGGTGGTCTGCCTGTGGTCGCCCCTTCATGTGGTGCTCATGGTCTGACCTTGTGGATGTTTTGGAGTCAACCCTTAGACATTTGGAAGTGAGGTATAGAATGACTTTTGCTTCCAATTCATACCAGGTCTCTCTTACCCTATTGAAGGTGGGGGTTGTGAAGCAGATGGAAACGGCGGCTCTGAAGGCAGCTGGTGACAGCAGAGGCTCTGTGTTTGCTCGGAAGTTGACTGCTCTGTACACGAAGTCCACACTCATCGGGGAAGATATCCTTCTTGAATGGAGTTTTTCTCTTCCATGTGACAGGGGCCGTGTTTTAGGATGATAGGTTTTCAAAGATGTTGTTCTTTGAGTGGGAACCTTCTGGCTGTGTAAGACTGCATGGTTACTTTACCAGAGTGAGCGTTTGTCAGTTGCCGAAGGAGAACAGGCTGTTGTACCTAAGGTGTGAGGTGAGGGTGAGGCTAAGAAGCGACTGCCCTTGGTGGCTGATCTGAAAGACATCTTCCCGCAGCCCACTGGGGCTGTGGCGAATGCTGAGGGCAGTGAAGAGGGACGTGAAAGCCAGAACAGCACATGCAGTTGCGTGCTCCCGCAGTGCCACGCTAGGCCTTCTTCGTTCACTGTCAGCTTTGTGAGAACTCACTTTTGGTGAGTAGGGGTGGTGAAGCCTGCTCACTGCGCACCATGTTGACTGTGTTCTGAAGTGTGGCCATCTGCAGGGTGAGAAACAAGGCAAGAGAATCACGAAATCAATGATACAAAATTCTTTGTTTAAGCCAAATAATTATATATAAAATGAGGCAAGAACACGTTTAAACATGTTTATTATAGGGTGTGGTCAGGACTGCTATTATAAAAGAAAGCCCTGAAAAAAGACCTTACACGACCCTGTGTGACAGTAACGCTCCTGCTGTTGCAGAGAATTGCTTGTTAGGGGCCTGCTAGCTTCTGCACACATCCGGAGGTTGCTTTGTCCTGGTAGCTCCGCCAGCTGGGTATGGGTAGGCCCCAAGCTGCAGACAGCCTGTGCGGGGTGAAGCTGAGCAGCTGGGCGTCCGCTTTGGCCTTTGGCTGAGCGTGAGCTTCTTGTGTGGAGCCTGTGTCTGAACCCCCACCATCCCCTGCTGCCTGGGCTGCTTGGGGCTCCTGACTGTTCAGACCCACCCTCACCTGCTCGAGGCAGCGTGGATCCTCCAGACTCTGACTGTTTTATGCACAGCATACATGTTTGCACACATGTATGTACATGTGTGTGTTTTATGTTTTAGGCAAATTCTCTTGTTAGGGAGCGTTAGGCACTTTAAAGGAAGAAATTAATGTACCCTGTTTTCGTGTATTTGTGCTTTGACTTGTGGAGTTAGTAGGCATGGGAAGGTCAAGTGTGATCAGCATCGTTGGAATAGGGAAGTGGGTCAGTCCTGGGGCTTCCACAGGGTTCAGGGAGCTGGGGGGTGTTTCAGAAGTAGGAACACAGTTGCTGCCTGTCGTCCTGCTCCACACAGCTCAGGGATGAGACGGCTCCAGCCTTTGGCCACTGGAGTTGGTGCAGCAAGCACTGGGGGAAGTCCCCGGCAGATGAAGCATAGCGTAGAGCAGAGTAGCATTAGGGGGACGTGCGTGGTGCTGTTGTCCTTAATCGTGGGAACATGTGAACCCGCTCGTCAGGCTGGATGACGCCACCAGTGTGGATGAGACGATGGCTGATACTTCCACTGGGTGTCTCTTGTGTGTCTGTGAAGACCTGGAAGGCGTCAAGGACAAGAAAAAGGGCAGCGCTTTCATTGGCCTTGTGGTAAGCACTTTGCAGATGAAAAGCACACAGTAGGTGTCCATGGAGGGCTCAGGAGTGGCTCATACAAGGCTGTCTGGTGACATGTGCTGTGCAGTGTCGCGTGCCCTCAGGTGACTGCCTGGAAAACATTTCTCCTGTGATGTTGTGTGTTAAGTCATTGGTTCTGTTTTCTCCCATCACTGCTTGGCTCGCCAGGCTATGGCAAAATCCACCATTCGTTGTTGTTCTGGTTTGTGAGCGCTAGGATTTTAGGATTGAAGATGGACTCGGTACCAGTCACGAGTGTGGATGTGGCACAGGCTGTAGAAGGAAGCGCCGGGCGAAGGCACGTATGAGCAGCAAGGACGTCACAGATTCCTTTTCAGGGTCTGAACATGAATATGAATGGTTGTGGGATGAATCCTGCATAGATTTGGAGCGAGAGAAAATTAAGGGGAAATCGCAGTTGGACAGTAGAATGTGTCATGCTAAGTTAATAGTAGGAATATTTACGTAGCCTAAGTGATTTTCCTTCCGGTGCCTCTGGGTAGATCGGCCCACTGTGAGCTTGCTTGGACTCTGCTCAGCGCCTGGACATCGTGGGGCCTCCAGGGTGCGTATGCTCCCTGTGCTATTAAGTAGACCACTCTCTGCTTTCCTAACATCAGAGAGGGTGTTAATGAAGGCCCCTGCCCCACCCGCCCGTTCCCTTCCTGTGTCCCTAGCCTGCAGAGCTCTGGCTGCCTTGGCCTTTGTGGAGTGTGTGTGTCCTCCCAGAACTGGCGCACATACGCCCTCCCAGAGCTGCCGCTGCTCCAGCGTGTGCTGGCTCGCGATGCTCTTTCCTGAGGTTCTTTAGTTGTGCCGTCCCAGCTGCCTCGGTGTCCTGATTAGATTTAAAATGTTTTCCTTCCGTGGTCATTTTGGGAAGAGCCAGGGCTCACCTGGGGCCAGGTCTGGTGACTAATGTGGTTGAAGACCAAGAGTCATGTTGTCATGAGCTTCCTTTCCACTAGACAGTGCTCGGGAGCAGCGTTCCAGACTGACGCCCCTCAGAAGGACACTCGGGAAAGAGGTCTCCAGAGCTGTTGTGGCAGGTGGTGGGGATGATGGGATGAGAGTGTGCACAGCAAGGGAGGTGATTTTGAGGGGAGTTAGTGCACCTTTTACTGTAATAGCTTTTAAAATTTTAAGCCTATGATCAGTCTTTTCTGTCACAGTGTAGCAGATGTTGAAGGTAGAATGACACAGACTATTTCTCTAGTGAATACAGCAACAGAGAACTTGGCTGGCTGACCGGCTGCTATTTGAGCATCTGCAGGTGATTTTTATAGAGGCTTGGTTGTGGATTGGGGCATGTGTGTGTCTTAACGTACCCGACCCACAGCTGTGGTCATCCCGGGGCTGGAATTTAGGAAGTTCCTCAAGCTACAAATAAAGGGCTTTTTTGGGGGCACTGGGAATTGAACTCTGGACCTTGTGCTTGCCAGGCAGGTGCTGTGCCACTGAGCTATCTCCCTGGCTTGGGATTTTCAAAACATGAAATATCCAGTAGAAAAATGCATGAAGCAGACATGTACAGGGTGGCATAGTGAGGAACTGCAGCTGCCTGCAGCCTGTAAGCCCTGCGTGTCTCTTCCCGGGACCGCAGGGGCTGTTAACAGTGATCCAGACGTGGAAGATGATAGCTTCCCTGAAGCTTGCTGCCAGTGTGCTTTGAGCTCTGCTGCTTTGGGAGAACTCTTGTCCCATGTTGTGGGCCTGTCGTCACTCTGTCCTATGGCATCTTAGTGTCTTGGCTGTGCACCTCTCTGCACTGGTGTCAACTGACAGGAATGCTGTGGTGAACTTTGCAGGTCTCCTCATGCCTGCCCCAGTCGCAGCATAGAACAGGGTGGGCCCTGCTGAGCTTTGGGCAGGTGGGGTGTGTTCTGTGGTCCTTGCTGTGCTGCCCTTGGGACCAGCTGGTGCCGCTGGGCTCCAGGCATGGGCACAGCATGGCGCAAAGGGTGACACTTACCTCTTGGTGAATGTGTCCTGTGCACCCACCCTCTGCAGTGGAGAGTGTGGCCAGGGCAGCAGGCAGGCAGCTTTTAGTCCCCATGGCACAGGGGCTGTGACTGGCTGTTACCGGGACTTGCTTGGGTGACTTTTCTCACTGTTTGCAAACTTTGAGCTCTGCCTTAGTTACTTTTCTGTGCTTCTCAGCCCAAATACTGGACACCCAAAATAAGGGAAGGAAGGGTTTTTTTGGCTCACAGTCATGGAGGTTTCAGTGCATAATCAGCTGGCCCCAGAGCAGGGTGGCATGCTGAGGGGCAACAGTTCAAGGTGGCAGATGACAGTAAAAGCAGCAGGAGCACAGGGTGAGAGCGAGTCTCTTTTCCTCCCTCATATCGTAAGCAGGATCCCCCAGGCTGGGCATAGTACTGACACATCTCCCTGCCCTCCTCTTTCGTGACAAGGGTGTTTACAAGTGAGGAATCTGGTCCCAGGTTGAGTCCCTTAGTTGAAATTCTTGAATTGACATAATATATCAACTGTTAGAAGCTTGTTTGCTCTTCTTGGCTGGAGGTGGCAGTGGGCCATTGTCAGTTGTCAATTTACTTCCCTTGAAAGACTGTCCATTTGGGGTTCATTCTAAGTTTGTTATATTTCATTTTGTTTTTTGCACAAATGCTTTGTACATATAAGTTCTCCATGGGTGGGAGATGGCTTTGGTGATGGCTTGGTGGTGAGCTTGGAGCTCCGAGTCAGGTACTGGCTGTGTGACCCAGCCACTGTCCTGGGCCTTGCAGTTTACAGCTACAGGGTTGATTTTCTGAGTCGATGCTTGGGGCAGCCCCACAGGAGGTGGCAGGGTTTTTGTGCTTCAGGAGCTGGCTGTCTTAGTCACCCCATCAGTGCAGTGGGTCCAGAATGCAGGGGGCGTGGGGGCTGGGCCTCTCGAATCTTGTGAGTCAGGTGCGGGAGGGCCGGGCACGGTGGGGTGTGCCCGGGGCTGCGGCTCTTGTGACCCTGTGCTTGTGTTTGTGCCCAGGCTGTGCAGCCTGCCACCGGGGAGGTGCTGCTGGACTGCTTTCGGGACATGGAGCCCCGCCAGGAGCTGGAGACGCGGCTGTGCAGCCTGCAGCCTGCTGAGCTGCTGCTCCCCAGGCGCCTGTCGGAGCCCACGGAGGCACTCGTGCGCCGAGCTGCCGCAGCGGGGTAAGTGGCCGCCCACCCGCCCGGAGGCCGGTGCTGCAGCATGTCTCTCGCAGGTTTTCTACAAAGCTATATCTCAGCAGTTACACTGGAAATTTTTAAAAAGAAAGTTGGCCATTACTATGATTGTTCGTTTATGTATTTGGTACAGGTTCTCACTACACAGCTCAGACCCTTAGTGATTCTCCTGTTTTCAGCCTCCCCAGCGCTAGGATTACAAGCATGTGGCACCAGGCGCGGACTCGGTCACTGGCTCAGCGCGGGGGTGGGGCCTGCGTGGCATGCAGGCCCGGGTATTGAACCCTGGCAGGCTTTTAGTCCGCTGAGCTATCTTGCCAGCCCCATTACCGTGATTCTGAAGTAGGACTATATAGAAGTTGATGTTTTTATTCTATTTGGTCTTTTGAAACAGGGTTTCACTGTGTAGTTGAGGCTGGTCTTGAACTGGCTGTGTAGTCCAGGCTGGCCCTGCATCATGGTGATCCTCCTGCCTCAGACTCCTGAGTACTGGGATTACGGGAAAAATTGATCTTTTTAAAGAGATCTCTGTCCTTACTGATATTATGTATTTTGTGTGTAATCTGTACTTTGTTCATTTGTATAATTTTGGAAATGTCTTTCTTGTGCTATATGGTTCTCTTGGAAACAGTGCAGCAGCCGTTTGTACTGGCCTTGAGGGAGCTGTGTGCTGGGCACACCGAGGGAGGACTGGCCGCGACGTGTGTCCCCAGCACGCCAGCGCACGTGGCCTGGATTCAGTGTCCTGAGGCCTCCTGGGGATGAGAGGATGGGTGCATCCATCTGCAGGGGCGGCACGGAGCTGCAGGCTGTGGGCTTGGAGGGGCTCACAGAAGGTGGCCCCCAGAGTGGCCGGGCCCTTTGCTCAGCCGGGGAGTCAGACTGACCCTTGGGTGGAGGTGCCCATGCTGCTGTGTCCTTGGAGCTCTGGGCACACATGTTGTTAATGTGTGAGCTTCTTTCCTGAAGTCAGACCTCAGCACGCAGGTTTATTTGTGTTGTTGGCATCTGCAGTAATTGGGTTTTGGGTTGTAGTTGAGGTGCTCTTCTCTACACAGTTCGCCATCACTGCTTTAGAGGGTTCATGTCTACTTGAATTCTACTTGTATCAGACTAGCTTTTATAATTTGCTTGGCATATGCCTAGAATATGCTCATTTAGAAGAAGTTAGGAGTTACAAAACGAAGTAAGCTAGCTAAGTCCCGCAAGCCAGAGATAACTGCGTTTCAATGTATTCTTTCTGGATGCATGCATCACTTGCACTTACAAACATGGAAATTCACTTTGGTATCCCCGTCCCGGTGACCTCGGGGCCTTCTCACTGTGTTACCTACTCAGTCCTTGCGACTGCTTTTATTTATTTATTTATTTTTAGTATTTTTTTAAATTTTTATTTATGTGTGTGTGTGGCCAGCTCAGCCCACGAGGGGGCGGGGCTGGCTGGCATGTGGTGCTGGGGGATTGAACCGTGGTCCCTGTGCTTTTTTGCTAAGCTTGTTCTAAGTAGGTGCTTTAGACCACTGAGCCATCTCACCAGCCCTGACTGCTTTTATTTTGAAACAGGGTCTCGCTAAGTCACAGAGTAGCCTAGGCTGCCTCTGTATCATCATCACGCACCCTGCCTGGTATCCTGTTTGTTAGCTGACAGTCTTCTTGTGTGTTATCTTAGTGTACTGTGCAAAATTTCAAACACACTACAGCATTATTTGGAGTGGGACAGTGGACCTCCTGCACCCATCGGGCAGCTTTGCGACTCTTGGTTGGAGCCAGGTTCATTTTGCCTGCCCTCCCCGCTCTGTTGGTGGATTGCTTTGGAGCCAGTTCTGGTGTGCTGGGGTTTCAGCGGTGCTCTTTGAGGTGTGAGGGCTGCAGAGCGCTCGGCCGTGAGTGGGCCGTGACTTACCCGTCCCCTCCTGTTAGGCTGTGGTTATTGCTTCAGGGTGATGGATACTGCCATGGCAAACACCTATGCAGAGAAAGCTGTGTGGGCCCTTGTTTCCTGGGGTGAGTTTCTGGAAGTGGCTTTTCTGAGTCAGAGTTGTAGCCACTGCTTTCAAAGCTCGTACTTGTTAAGATTGCTAGTACCTATTTGTGCTTCTGCAGGATGACACAGAGGGACTCTCTGAACCCTTGCCAACACTGGGTGATCATTTAAATCGTCTTTGCTGGCCAGATCTTGAATTCTGTGTAAAACATTTTGTTTTGCCCTTCTCTTTCATACTTAAATGTGACAATTTTTTTTTTTCTTTTTTGTGTATTTTAGAGATGGGTCTACAGGGTGTTCAGGGTCTCACTATTAGATCAGACTCCAGTGATCCGCCTGTTTACAGCCTCCAAAGAACTGGGATTACAGGCACGCCAGTCTCAATTGCATCTCAGTGTGCCCTGGGGGCGGGGCCGGCACGGCAGGCCAGGAATCAAACCCTCAGCGCCTGCGCCTACTTGCAGGTGCTTTAATCTGCTGAGCTATTTGGCCGGCCCCAAAAGTTCAGAAGGATTTTGTTTTGGTCCACTCAGGATGCCTTACAGGCAGGTCTGATAAGGCATCAGGATCTGGGGTTGAACCAAAGACTCCTGAGCCTGCCTGCTTTGCTTAAGCAGGCACTTAAACAACTGAGCCAATGAGCAGGACCCCTTTATTTGCTAGTTCTACTTCTTCATCTGGGAAGTATGTATTCATTTCTGATGTCTTTTTTAGGGGGTTGGATTTTTAAATTTGGGGTGTCTACTAGTTTTTTGGAGTTTTTAAAAAATATATTCTGTTAGTCTGTTACTTGAGGAGTAATTGGCAAAATTTTTCCCATTCTGTGAGTTGTCTCTTTACTCTGATGGTGCTTTCTTTTGCTGTGAAGTTTTTAAATTAGATATGATTCCAGTTGGTGATTTTTTAAAAATAGTATTTCCCCTTGCAATGGGATTTTTTTTTCATAGTTTTTGCCTCCACCTGTGTCTTCCAAAGTTTTACCTATTCTGTCTTCCCGCAGATCATTTCTGTTTTAATATCTAGATCTTTGATTCATTCTGACTTAAGAGTATGGTGAGATATTTGGGCCTAGCTTCAGTCTTCGGCCTTGGGAAGGCCAGGTTTCACTGCCTCTGGTGTTCTTCCCTCTCTTTGTTCTGATAGTTCTCCCCTAGCACATACACTGGGCCTCGTACTCTACTCTGCTCTTCCTGCCTGGCCGGAAAGGTGTGGTGTTACTTGGGTTATTTCCAGCCCCCTGGGATGGTCTTTGGTGCTATTTTCTTGTCTGTTGTAACCAGCCTCTAGCGTTATGTTCTTTCTTACGGCTCAAGGTGTTCAGCCCTTCTTCCAGTTCCCTTTTCTTTCCTGCAGTAAGACTCAAGGTAAAATCAGAAGTTTGGGCTGATATTTTATTAATATTGAAGATTATACATTTTTAAGGGAATTACCTTGTCAGTATATGTTGATATATAATTAACAGTATCTTGTTTTTTACTTCCCCTCCCTCCTTCCCATCTGTCTCCATCCCCACCTCCCAGATCTCCACGAAGTCTGGCTCCCTGTTTCCTGTCATCCATGTTTTATTCTGCTCTTTATACTTTGCATTTCTCATGTAAGAAACCATATGATACCTGACTTCGTGTGTCCGATTTATTCCACTTTATTGTCTCAAGTGAAGCTTACTGTTCTTTATGACACAGTAGGGTCCACCGTGTGTATAAAGGATGCATCTTCTGTGTCCATCATCCTTCGATGGCCCCATCAGCTGTCTCCAAGGCTTAGCTGTAATGAACTGTGCTGCTGTACACATGGAGTGCTGGATCCTTGTAGTGTGAGCCAGTGTGACGTCTTCCAGGAAGACATCATGTACTTAAACTGTGTGAGGAAAGGAGGAAGGATGCTGTGGGATTCTGGAGTATCCTCCTGGCTGAGGGTGTCTCTTTTTTTGTAGCCACAAGAGGTCTCCAAAGGATTTTATAGTCTGTGAATTGCAATTTAAAGCTTATTATTTCTTAGGGTACCACTTATTTACTTTGTATCCTGTTGTAATTTAGGGATGTGTTTGTTTTTGCTTTTTTTTTTTTTTTTTTTTTTTTTTTTTTTTTTGGTAGAACCGGGGACTGAACTCAGGCCCTTGTGCTTGCCAGGCAAGCACTTATTCTACTGAGCCATCTCCCTGGCCCCTCGTTGTAATTTAGACACACTGCTAGCCAAAGATGGTAGTAAGCTGATTATTTCCAAGTAGTGACAAACCCTTCATTTTTCTGAGCCGCCGCTTTTGTATTTGTGAGAAATGCCTTGTAAGATTCCAGCCTAGGCTCTATGGGATCCGTCAGATGCTTGCTGCCTTGCGTTTGTTGTAGACCAGAGAGAGAGCAGTGGAAAGCAGTGGCATCGAGCCCTACGGGAACCACAGTTGACATCACTGTAGCTTAAAGATGTTGTATGTTAATGTGACTGACATTAACATTACTGCTTTTCAGAGGAACAGATTCTGAGGCAAGGAAGGTGAACACAGTGGCTGATACTGAATTTGTGTTCAGGAAAGTGGGAGTGTCCGGGCGCTGGCAGAGACTGCAGGCTCTCAGGGAGGTGACCTTGGACACTCTGAGCTCTGAGGTGCATGATCTGGGAACGAAGGAGATGCATGGAGCTGAGAACTGAGGGTGGGCAGCGGGGACCTAGGGCAGGGCCAGGGCTCCTTCTGCAGGGGCAGCCAGGTTCTGGGCCCGGAGAACAAGGAGGGGAATCTGCTGCATGGATGGGGCAAAAAAAAAATATTTCCTACAAGATATAAGAATATATGTCAAAGGCCAGCCAAATAGCTCAGTGGATTAAAGTGCCTACAAGCAGGTGCAGGGGCCGGGGTTCGATCCCTGGGCCTGCTGTGCTGGCCCTTCCCCCGAGAGATGGCAATTGAGGCTGGACATGGTGGTGTGCGCCTATAATCGCAGCTCTTGGGAGGCTGTAAATAGGTGGATCACTAGAGTCTGATCTAATAGTGAGACCCTGAACACCC